TCAACCCATACATATTTTGTAAATGTGTCTATAACAATTAAAATATATTTAAAACCATTATTTTTTTTTTTTTTTTAATGTGATTGCATATCCATAAGATCAGCCTGCCAAAGATCGTCTTTAAACCTAGTTAAGATATGACGACGAGGAAATTTTTTTCTTACCGGACGATGTAGCTCGTATGCAATTTGTTCTAAGGTAGTCATTATACTATTAGATTTCTTTCCCGTAATTCTTCTAAAATCGATATAATTTCGTTATAAACACCAGTATTACCAGCTCCTTCTGACGAAGACAATAGATTGAGCCTAGTAACTAATTCATTAGGATCGTCGTAGTACACTATCTGAGTGAAAGGTAAAACATCTTTATATAATTCCTATCCAAATTTTTTACTAGCTAATAGTGGTTGATCAAATTGAGTCATGTCATCCATAGAGCTATTTTTACCAGACCATGGTGGTGAAAATGTGAAAGATTCATTATTTAAAGATGGATTAATATTTTCACTAACTTTTTTAACCTTTCTATTTGATATTATAAATAATTAATATTGCTTATTAAATTTAAATAAATCTAATTTTTCTAATATAGGTTTCTTCGGTGCCACATGGTACGTATTTAACAATTCATTATTTAACTCTATTTTCATACGTTCATATAAAGGTTTTATAATATTGGTCCATTTGAAGAAACTTTTTGCCTTAGGTATCCCATCAGCTTTTAGATGAACTTTTGTAGATTTTAAAATTTCAAAATATGCTTCAACATCGCTGTAAGTTATACCTTTAGGATTTTTTTCACATAACAAAGACCAAAGACCTGATTTCCATGGAAAATATTTATCATCAACACGTAATTGATTGTTTATGAAACTTACGGGAAAATTACCTATTTTACACTGATCGTTAGCTACATCATAATGTAGTCCAAATGTTTTATCGTATGTTCTAAGTCATGGAGCTGTACTAAAAAAATTAAAAAATTCCGAAACTTGATCAACATCCTCATCATCGTCCTCAATTTTATCAGTCGCGGTATTACTAATATTATCTGATTTTGTTTCACTTTTTTTTCCTTCAATTGATTTTAGAGGTTCTATTATCGGCTTGAACGTTTCACGAAAATAGTTGTCAGACTCAATAACCCCTCTTTTCATTTCCATAATTTTTCGTTTTATATTTTTTCTAGACGAAATTAAGTTTTTAATCAAACCGTCCTCGTTATCCATTTTAACGGACTGAATTGAAATTTAATATGATGTAGTATTTATATGTCTTTACATTTTTTTTGTTGTGATTTTGATGAAAGGTGTTACTATAATCAATAGGTATTTATAGATGATACTATAATCAATATTGTTATATTACTATAAACTTATGAAATCCACACCCATATCTACCTTTATTCATTTCCGAACTTTTATCAATGATCATAAAATCCATTTACTAGGATGTTATCATTTTGAACTATCACATACAGCGATCAATTCGTCAACATTTTTAAACACTTGTTTTGAAGAGTGGGGTATTACAAACAAAGTTTATTTTTATGAAAATAGAATTAAATTTTTGTATAATCATATAACATAAACAAAATGTCGGTATAAATATGATGCAAGGTTATAGGAGAAAATGTAATTAAATATCTATATTATTATATTGTTCTATGATACTATGCTAGTTTTTAACAAACGGTAGTGGAATGAATGATCGATGGAAACATATTGATATTTCTCTGATGTAACTATCCATGTATTTTACTTATTTACTATCGTTTTTGCTCAATCAGCCAATTGCGAACGGTTATCGATATCAATTTTGATTTTAAATAAATGATAAGAACCACGGCTATAAATTATCTATGACAATGATAAGAATATAAAATTCACGGACCACGGTCTTTGAATAATAATAAAAATAAAAATAGTTTAATTGAACGGCTCCTCTAAAATATCACTTTATGTTATAATATAACATATCCACCTTGTCGGTGATAAAATGTTATCTATTATCTAGTTTTGAAATATTCCAAAATATTATAAACGTGTGATCGACACAATACATTGTACAACAACATTTGTGTACTTATTTGATATAACTTTTTAACTATTTTACATTAACATTTGGCAATGAAATTGAATAGTAAATTTTATTAATTTACAACATAATACGTTTTAAAATAATTACTTTAGTCTTCTACCATTTTAAACCTCAAAGGGCCATTTGGCATGTATATTGGATGGATAGTGTATTCTAAATCTTCATGATTGTACTGGACCTCAAATGTTTGAAAAATCTTTAACAAAAAAATTAATATTAATATCTTAAAACACTCAAGATGTATTTAATATTATTTTACATACTTTTGCTACAACAGTTTGAAGTTCTAAGTCAGCAAATCGACGACCCAAGCACATTCTTTTTCCATAGCCAAAAGGTAAACTAGCAAATGGATGATGTTTGTATTCACTACCTTTTAACCATCTTTCTGGTAAAAATTGTTCTGGTTGTGAAAAATATTTGCTGCTGTTACTAATAGCATAATGTTGAAACACTACTTGTACCTGAAATAATATTAACATTTATTAGCTCATGTTCATGTATCTACATATAAATATATTATACTTAAATACTTAATGATTCATTATAAGTATTTATTTAAAATCCCATATTATTACTAATAAAGTTGTTCAATAAAACGTACTCCTTCTGGAATTTTATATCCACTTATTACTGTTTCTTTGGTCATGCAACGGCCATTTCCAATAACTACTGGATACATTCTACAAACAAATTAGGTGTACATTACGTGTGTAAGACCCTATTTAAATTTGTGGGACGTTAATTATTCTATAAAATTATACATTAATATGAACTTAAAACAATTACCTTAATGTTTCTTTTATACATGCTTTTAGATATTGCAACTGATCAAGTTTTTCAGAAGTCAGTTTAGAATCGGCATTTGGTAGTACGATTCGTATTTCTTCTCTGAGTTTCTTTTGTTTTTCTTGATTTTGGCTTAACTGATATAGAATTGATGCAAGAGCTGCAGAAGTCTAAATATTTTTTGTAAAAAAATGTATGGTAACTATGTGAAGTTCTTTATTCATAAGTGAACCCGGTTATATATCGAGGTAAATATATTAGTGCATCATATTTTATTTGTTTTTTCATAGTTAATTTAATTTAAAATTATATTATTTGAGTTTTAAAATATTCAAGGAAAATGTCATACATACTAAAATTGTTTAATTATTAGTAAAGACCGGATTTATATGTTTTTACATATCGCTAATTGGTTTATGCAGTTATATGAGAGTAAAAAATGTTGACGATTCATTCAATTCTGAGTTTGTAGAAAAAAGTTTTTTTGCTTATTTTTGCTTATCATAGGTTAGAGAATATTTAGCCCATTTAGCATATTTTAGAATATTTGATTTTTTTTTCATAGTTGAAGATTGTACAAACTGTTATTTGTTATTTTTAATATTGTGACAATAGTGTTAATACAACATTTAATTAAAATATGCCAAAGGAATATTGTTTTTAAATTTTAATACTTTAGACCCGGGATCGTCAATCAGTCGATCGTTGTAAAATTGTAATTTGTAATTTTACAACTATCGGTCGATCGCGTAAAATAATCAGATTAATTGAATAATGGGAATATTAGATTTAAAGATTAAAGACCTAAATTTTCCTGGATGTCAATCACTAGGGACTTAAATGTCAAATGTAGCTCACTTGTTTGAAAACGTTGCTATAGACTATACTGTAATATTTTTACTGAATTCCTACTCTTACTGAAGTACAATAGTATTCTATTATAATA